TGTTTTGAGAGATAAGCCATAGTACCTCTTAACATCCGCCTCATTTTGGGAAATTCTCCTCTGTTTGTTTACTCAAATGGAAAAGCAAATAACTTAGAAATTGTAAGTCCAAATTACACTTGTGGTCCATTATTTGAAAGCTAACATCATGAAAATGGGGTGAGTAAAACACAGCCAAGCTGCATCAGTTCAAACATGACTCAACATTTTTTTTTGTTCTCGTAAATAATAGGTATTTTTTGAACAGCAGTGATAAAGACATGCTTGCTTGTTGTGGCTGCTTTGTCATATTTATAATTTACCATGCTGCTATGTCTGCGTTCAGTATGCTTTGGTGCTCGCTGTGTCCATAAATAAACTTGGTGGTTGAATTGTGGAGAGTCTAAGCCTTCCAATGACGTCTAACATGTCTACATTGATAAACATTTTACCAGTGTAATATTCATGCATTCTGAGTTATTAGTTGTAAACGCTTTAAAACAGCGCCGGCGACCCGGTGGGTTTTGAGAGGTTAAATCCAAATTGCTCTGCTGAATATGAGTCTAGAATAATGACCGTAAACCACTGGTTATAAAAAAAAAGATGTGGTTAAAAATAAACTCAATGCAAAAGAAAAAAATAATTATTTCTGTATTTTATAGTTTTATCCAAAGTAGAGGAACCCAAATATTTTGGTCCTGATTTAAGCAATTACATTATACATTTCACAGGTTTAGATGAAGTTTAAATGCTTTTTGAAAGTTCCTCAAAAATGGCAAGAAACTATTTAATTTAAAGTTAAGTAAAAAAAAAAAAAAAAAAAAGACAAGAAAATAACACAATAAAATTGTAACTAAATGTAATTAATGTAAAATAGGAAAATTACTTCTGATTATCGTTCTGTCTTCTTCTTGTTAAGTAAAAAAAAAAAAAAAAAAAAGACACAAAAACCGCTTTAACTTCAATATAGCTGCGAACATCAGTTTTATGATGCTATAATCTGGAAAAATGAATGCAATCCCCTTTGTGATTAATAAAGTATCTATCTACACTACACATTTTGAAATGCAACACATGTTTCAGTGATTACAGGCAGTGAGCATAGCCTTTTTCCTAACAGCATTTAAAGCAAAGAGTAATTTTTTTTTTTACCTCTGGAGAGGAAAACAATCATCACAATGATCCCACATGCAAACTGTTGAAGAGCCATCTTGATCAATAACTAGTTCCTCTTGGCTTCAGCATTAAATACAGGAATTTTTGTGTTCAGCTCCACCCAGAGTGACATAACACTTATTAAACTTTTCCCATTACCAAGTATCTCTGACTGGTCCAACTGGTTGATTGAAAAACAGATAAATGAATTCCACTTGCTTTTCTGTATCACCTTGTTGGTAATATGTTTTCACATAAAGCTATCAAGTAACAAAGTACAAATACTTCATTACTGTACTTAAGTACACTTTTTAGGTATCTATACTTTACTCCATTACTTGTTTTTCTTCTTACTTCTGACTTGTACTCATTACATTTTTACACAAGTATCTGTACTTTCTATCCCTACATTTTTAAAACAAACTTTATTCGTTACACTTGGCTTCAGTTTTATGTTTATATATATATATATATATTTCATGTCATGTACACGATCAAATGCAGATCATTGGCGCCATCCACATCTAGCAAAAACTAGTGTAACTGGATGAGTCATATAACGCAAACAGTCATTGCTTAGCTTTTCGTCACATTTCTGCTGACGCCAAAGAAAATCATCAGAAGGAAGCAAGTGTTCTTCAACCTGAAAACGCAAATTGTCTACGACATGCTACAATGTCGAATTCAGAAAAAGATGTTGAAATATCTGAAAGGTCGGACACAGGCGAGATCGTATCGGGAGATGGAGACGGAAACCAACAAGACCTCCCTCATCCTTGGCTCTATCTGAAAGAATTTTTCGAAATAGTCAAAACATTGAGCTCTCAATTCATATAGTGACATCTGGCTGTTTTCTTTTTAAAGGTTACTTTATACTTTTATACTTTAAGTAGTTTTTGGACCACATATTTTTTCACTTTTACTTGAGTAAAGAGGTTAATTTGATACTTTAACTTTTACCAGAGTGTTTTTAAACTGCAGTATCTATATTTCTACTTAAGTAACAAATAAGTGTACTTTTGACACCACTGTCTATAGACAATTTTTTAAACAGGTTAGGCTATGTTGTCCGGGAAGAGAACTTAGAGGAAGCTAGACAAGGTAGTTTAAGTTTCATGCCTATTCGCTGTAAACAATTGCTCTTCTAATTAGTCTTTTCATCAGAGCTAGCTGGAATGCGAACAGGGTTGGGACTTACATAACCCTCCATAATATGGAGGGTTCTTTTCTTTTCGTTCTATGTATTTTCTTTCATCTTTTCTGTCAGGTAATGTGCTTTCTGTGTTTTGCCATTTTAAGTTCACTTCACATTGCTTATTATTATTTCAATCTGAAAAACTCTCACTAAGACTATTAGAAGAAAGTTATTGAAACAATTACCGTACTTGGTCTTTGGCGCTCAAACCTCGGCAGGAAATATAGCGCTTCATTTTGATAGATATGCATGAACAGGAGTAAAGAATGGGACTGTTTCCCACCAGGCCTGAATCTGGTGGTGGAGTGGAGATAGACAGTATGCTGAGCTTTATGGGAAGATCCAGTGGATTGCGTGAGCTGATACTAGAGCTTTACTCAGGGACCTGGAAAATGGAAGTCCAGTTGGAAAACACACATTGAGAGAACCTGTCCATGATGAGCAAGCATGAAGCAACAGAGGAGAGGAAAAACTCCTTGTTGGGAAGAAACCTCTGGCAGAACCAGGCTCAACATGGCGCTCTTTTGCCGGACCAGTTGAAATGAGACACGGAATGCAGTAAGAGTCCGGGAGGAATGACACTCTGATGAAGCTTTAGCTGCAATGGTGGAGGAGAGGCTGGAGGTGGGTTGAAACGGTGTCATCTGAATGAAGTCACACAACGCATCCACAGCCTGCGCACAGGAGCACACAAGTGGAACAGAGGCCTTTTAAGATTAACTTTGGATGCTGATTGGCTTTCGTGGAGGTGTGGTTCAGAGCTGATTCACTGCATGAAAAGTGAGATTTTCGTCCCCGTAAACCCCCGTAAACTCCCGCAGATCTGCCTGATTTTCGTCAGTTTCCGACAATTTGCAACCCGTGCTTGTCCGCGTTTGTCGTGCCACAAATTGTCGGAAACGTACCATGACGTATGTGGAGAGCGATCAGCTGTACTAATGGCCCTAATTAGCATGTGAATGCAGCAAACCCTCGCGGCTGGCCAGGTCTCGCTTGAATAACCTCCTCGGTATTGGCTGAAACCACTATTCTCAAACAAATGAAATCGCTCGTGATTGGCAGCAAAACCACACGTGGCCACGCCAGGCTTTAATTTTCTTACTGAGT